GGATAGGTATGGTTTAGGTTCTTAACTCTTTCCTGCTAAAAGCTCACTTGTATGTTTCAGAGATGCTTTTGCCTTTGAAATAAAGAAGGCCTTTGAGCTCCCTCTCCAAGGAGACGTGTGAGGAGGCCTGGCTGCCTTCTGTGCATAAATATTTCTGTCAAACTGGATTCAGACTCAGGTGGGTGAAACAACTGTGCCCATGGGGAGCCATCAGCCTCCACCTCCTGTTAGGCAGTACTGCATCACTGAGATTTGTCTTGTTGCCATACTGTCAAAATTAGCTGTGGGTGAGAGAAAGGGCTGAAATGCTCCTGTATGTTCACCAAGCAGCAGGACAGAGCAGCTGGGGAAGGAGGGAGATGCAGACTCTAATAGTGAAGAGAAGCTGTGCAAGGAGAAGCTGCCTTCACAGCCTTGAGAAAGGGGATTACTTGTCCAGATGTGTGATTGAAGGAGGAAAGATGACTTCAAAGGTGGGATTAATTATGCTTCCTATGCAAAGGAGTTGTGCTAGTTATAGAAACAGCACACATTAGGTTTGGTGGCTCCAAAGAAGGTCATAAAATTCAAGGTCATAAAATATTTTAAAAATTGTTTATGTGGTAAAAGCAGGATTACAAACAGAACAGGGTTAGAAAAGCTCCAAGGGGTGAGTTCCTGGAGTTAGGAAAGTACCTAAAAATCTGAACTTTAATTTCAGGAAGAAACAAAGACCTCAAAGAATGGTTCTGACTCTTGCAGCTGCTGCAGACCAAACTTGAAAATGTGAAAAAAGCATCAGTAGGTCAGTAAGAGTGAGTGAGAATCAATAGTTCATGGAGGATGAATTTTTCTATGTGCTGTACTGGAGTATTAACTAACCTTCAGTGGCTCAGTGATCATATCAGACCTCACCTGGGGGATGCCACAGGGTCAGGACAGAGTGGCAAAGGACTGGCAGTTGGTCTGGGCTAGCATCTTAGAGAAGGAACACCAGCAGAAAAAACAAATTAGAGCTGTTCTTTCCTCCCCTGTTCCCTGAATACTTGTCGTTTCATCCCTTGGAAGGAAACTGATGAGCAACTATGCTTTGTTCTGGCCTCTCTTTGAGACCATTTGTTGCTTGTTTTCTTTTAATGTCTGACATGTTAGAAAGAGATAATTTTTCCTATTTGGCTTGACCTCTTCCTTCCGGGGAGCATACCTCCCCTTGTACTGGCTTTGTCCTCACACAGTCCTCTGTTGAAAGAAAGTTCAGCAGAAAACTAGAAAAAAGCTTGGGATTTGGAATAAGATGTGCCCTCAAACAGATGGTCTGAATCTCTGCAACGTCCTGCTCCTCTCTGGAGGTGCTGTGAGGTATCAGTTGTGCACTGGATGGCTCTGAAATAGCAATGTTATACGGGCAAACGCTTCCATGAGATGGAAGCTACTCCCCTACCTTTGTGCAGCCAGCCTTTTACCCAGCAGCAGTTTCTCATAAGCAGAGAGGTTATCTGTGGTTATAATCTTGATTGCCCAGCAAATTGCTGAATGCCTGAGGAAGCAGGAGGAGAATGTGCAGCTTCAGGGTGTGTGGGTTTTTCAGTCTGGTTTACAGTGAGCACTGGAGGTTGAGTGTTTAAGATGCCTTGAGATCCTGACACCATTTGTTGCAGTATTAGACAGCTCCATTCTGTGCAGGGAGGCCATCCCAGCATTCTGGAGTAGCCATGGGAGTTCAATAAACTGCTGTTTGCTTCAGAAGCTTTGGATTATGAGACTGGCAAAGAGTGGCTATCCAGGCAGAGGCAGACCCAAACACTACGTGAAGCAAGCATGAAGACTGTGTCTCTGTTGGGGGAGTGAAGGCACATACTTCAGTTTCAGACTATTTTATTCAATTGCCCAGTTTTCCTTCCCTCCATCACCCCTCCAGTAAATGCTACCTTCCTCCTAAAGGGCATGGGCCAATATATATCATCAGTACACATGACCAAAACTTTGGTACCAGAGTCCTTTGTCCTTTATCCAGCTGCAAATCTGCTCAGCTCCATGTGATGCAGCAGCACAGGGATTTTCAGCTTTTGTTCTGCTGTTTACAAAGAGTGAAAAAGATAAAAGGAAAAATGTTCATAAAACTAGAGCACAGTTATATAAAGAAGTGGACTGAAAACCTGCAGCAGGATCTGTCCAAGATCTGACCTGGTCATCTGTCCAAAGAAGATCTTTACTTGCCCCCCTTATGTGATGTGCTGTTCAGTTCTCTATAAAGCAACAAAATGGAAGAGACTTTGATTATGATTTCTTACTGTGTGCAAAGCATAGGTGGCCTTTGAGGTACCCCATTATTACTTTTCTCGGTTAAAGAATTAATGATTCAAACTTTGCTTCTCAGTTTGCTGAGAAGGTGTTTGCTTCTTAGTCTTGAAGATACTGATATAATGGAAAATCTTGCACAATAGGATTGAAAAAAATTGGAGAAGTTACAGTGTGTAATAAATTAGGGCTGAAGGAATGTAAAAACTTAAAATTAGTTTAGCACATCACTTGACAGATGGGAAGTAATTTATGTAAATTTAGGGAAGTGGTAGTTGGATTCAGTTGATCTAATTTAAACACTATTTCTAATTATTTTTTGTATGTATACAGAGGATTATAGGATGGCCATTATTCTGACAGAAGGCTCTTTATGTTTAAATTTAAATCCATAAATAAGTGCCTATTAAAATGTAAACATGCTGTGATGACAAGCACCTGATTATGCAGATAGGTTAGTCCAGCTACTCTGGTGAACAGCTGTGTGCATGTGTTTCAGATAATGCTTTTTCTTATGCCCTAAGAACCACAGGCAGAGCCCTTGAGAGGTCAAGAGGTGCCTGACCCACGGGTGGGAGCTGCCTGTAAGGAGGCTTGCTGATGTTGAGTGCAGATCTGAGAGCAGATGGGCTCTCACAGTTTCCACTGAAGGCAGGCCCTGGTGGCACCCAAGGGCACAGAGAGAAGATGACACAATTAAACAGTTCCCCCTCCCTTCACTCTGGTGCTGCTAATCCAAGTTTAAACTCCTAACAGTATCTTTGGAGAACCTTCTCCTTTACATTTTGACAGTTCTCTCCTTTTGCCAAGAGAAAGATCATGTAGGTTTACTGGGGAGCTGCCAAATGACAGCTTGACTTCACACCTGAGAAGCAAATGAATGAGGAGAGAAGGAAAGCCTCAGCCTGCCTCCAGCCTGGCACAAACACAGGAGTCTTGGAAGCATGGGCATGAACAACCCCTGGAGCTGCAACAGCAGCAGCAGCAGATGTGACATGAGCAGAATCCCAGCTGGAGCTGCAGTGGAGGAGGAAGCATGGGGCCTGTTACCAAACTGCAAAAGCATTATCCATCAGCTGCACACCCTGGGGGGCGGTGGAGGCCTGGCCATGGATGATTCTTGGAGGTGTGGGATAAGGCTTGGAGCTTCACACTGTACAGCAGCCCTCTTGAGTTGATTTGGCTGGCTTTCCTTCCTTGAGCCATTGCAGAAAAGAGCGCTCTCTCAAGACATGCATTAACAATCAGCAGGGCAGCTGACAGCCATGATTCATTCTTTAACTACCCCAAACCCAGTATTTTTGGATGTGTAACTCATGGTTTATACACTTTGTGAGTAGAGGGCACCAAGAATGAGGCTGCACGACACCTCTTTGCTCCTCGTGGGTTTAGGGCAGAATGCCAGACTTGTGGAGAACTGCAGGCAGCCTGACTCCATGGGTGTTCTGGGACCCCATGGGTGTTCAGTGACAGCTCATGAGCAGTCACCTCTCTCCTCCCACGAGCATCATGGTGAGCTGTCTCTGGCAGGATATTCTGTGGTTCATGAGCCTTTTTGTGAGAGTAAGACTATTGCAGCTACAAATTGCCCTTGGCTCTCTAACTGCTTGTAGAAAAGTAGTTGAAGTTGTGAATTTCAGACCACATTTTAAAATGGGAGAAAAATGCTTTGCATATGAGGGTTTTTTCACCAGTATCATGAACACTGTGCCTGACTCATCCTTCACATGGGAGAACTAAGCAAGCTAAGAAGAAATGACCCTCAGGGCAGGGATTTCTATCTTATTTTTCTTTAAGGGAAGAAATTTCCAAGGACTGCCCCCAAAAACTACCACTTTGTTGCCTGACCCCACCAGGTGTTTGCAATCTGCAATTCTACAAGTCAGACGTGTGTAGCTGGATGCCTTTGTAGCAGCAAGCAAAGCCAGGGAAGAACTGTTCTGTAGGAGCAGACAGGTCCTGCAGCGCTGGGTGTTCTCTGGCCGCCTTCCGAGGTGTCCTAAGGAGGGCGCCGGGAGGGCGCCGGGCTCCTGCGGCAGCGCCCTGGGCTGCACACACCCTGGGCAGCGGAGCTTTGAGTGACCACAGCTGCAGCAGCGCATTGCAAAGGGACAAACGAGCTCCCTGCAGAAAGCTGGCACCCTTCTGGTTTGGTTTGGTTTTTTTGTGGGAGAAAGGTTACTTCTACGTTCAGGTGGAGGAATTGAGCGGAGAAGCCTTGCACACTCCTCGAAGGGCGGGCATTCCCATCACAGTCCTAGAGTGACTTCCCCGGGACATGAGGACGTCGCTGTTGAAGGCAGGCTCTGACCGGACAGGCCTGACTGACGGCCTCAGTGCAGCGCTCAGCCGCGAGGCTGTCCGTCCTCTTTCTGCTGACCCTCCATTATGTGCTTTTTGGCAAGGCTGTGAGTTCACCCTGTAGAGCAGCAGCTGCTCAGAGAGCACCCACACGTTTTCCTCCGGCGATCGGCAGAGCCGCTCAGCCCCAGCAGCACGAGGGGCTGCCCGCACACGGCTCGGAGCGCCCAGGGTACAGCGGGCGGGGGTGGCCGCAGCCCTGCCAGCGAGTGGGTCACGGCAAAGCGGCGCAGAAGGCAGCCGGGGCTCTCCCGGGCGCGCTCGTTCATCGTCTCCCGGCCCAGCGCTGCCGGGGCCCGGCGGCCGCGCGCCCCTCCCTCCCCCGCTCCCGCCGGAAACGCCCCCCGCGCGCTGCCAGCGGGCGGGGGTGACGGACGGACGGACGGACGGACGGACGGACGGACGGACGGTACGAGTGGGTCGGTCGGGGAGAGGATGTGAAGATGGCGGAGCTGCAGATGCTGCTGGAGGAGGAGATCCCGGGGGGGCGCCGGGCCCTGTTCGACAGCTACACGAACCTGGAGCGGGTGGCCGAGTACTGCGAGACCAACTACATCCAGGTGCGCGCGGGCCGGGCCGGGCGGGGCCGGGCGCGCCCTCACGGCCGTGCCCGCGGGGCCGCAGCGGGCAGCGCCGGCTGCTGCAGCCTGCGCTGGGGGGGCAGCGCCGCTTCGCCTCCAGCGTGAGCTGCCCCGGCGTGACGAGGCGCTTAAATATGGAATTGATTCCTAGATTGAATTCCTCCCACTTTGTGAGTGAATGTTTATGCCAGATCGTACCTCTGTCCCCCCTTTTCGTTCCCTCCGCAATTCCGATCTGCTTTGCTGCCGGCGCCGAGGTGATGTGATAAACCGAGGGCACGGCTGACTCCTGCAAATGCAGTGTCGGTGCCTGTTAATTTCGAGCAGAACGACATCGGCTTTAGTAGGGTTCTGTCTGTCTGTATTTCCCTTCTCTAGCAGGACTGTGGAATTCCATCGGAAGGGCAGCTACCAAGTGGTAGGTGCAGGATGGAAGCGTGGTGTAGTAGAGCTGGTACAGAATTAGGGAGAAGAGATGAAGTGCAAGTGCTACCGCATAGTGTGGTGTTTGCGGTGATGGCTCTAAAGCCAGGCTGGTGCTAGGACTCTGCGTTTTTCATTTCTGTTTCTAGTGGAAAGAAAGACAAAATATTCTCGATTTAGTTTGATAGTAATAATAGGGCCAAATTAAAACTTTGTCCCCAAACACAAGAAGACACCTTAAGACATGTCTTGAGTGTGCAGGAGAGAAAGGTAGGGGGGATGATGTGGATTTGTGGTGTCAGTATTGAGAGAATTCCAAAGTATCCCAGAATTGTTTTTGAATTCAGTCCCCGAAGGGCAGAGTGCTTGTGTGCTTCTAGAGGGCAGCTAGCGATGAGATCTGTGCTGATACTGTTCTGTCAGTGAAAATGGGAGAGACTATTTAACCAGAGGCAGAGAATACTTAGAATGTCCCTGTCAAAAAGCTCTCACTGTTTCTTTTGAATTCCTGAATGACCAGATGTCCTTTAGAGAGAAGACTTTGCATATTTTAGGTCATTTACAAAACAGGTCAATTACAGTAAAATTATATAGATGTATTTTATTATGTAATAACACTTCTGATGTTGAGTTAGCGTGACTTGGGGTTTTAAAGAAACATGTTGAAATCTTTACTTACACTTATGACCTGACATATGTGTGTTTAAATTTCTGCTTTGTTGAGAAGTGATTTTTCTGGAATATGGGAGAGGAGTACTGGAGGGCAGAACCAGATAGAAAGAACTGCATGTAGCTGGATTTTTTTCCTTTGACTTTTTTTTTTTATTCTTTGTATAAATCAAAGTTTGAAAATGTCTATGGAACAGATCCACTTCTAATGTCTTAATGAAAACTGCAGAAGAGAACTCCGTGCAGTTTTGTGTGAACATAGAATGAAAAAAATACGGTTATTGCCCCAGACAGCACACAGTCCATAAGGACAGAGTAGGATCACAGGAGATGGATGCAGGCAGATGGTGAATGAAAGAAAAGAATGAGGCACTCTTGGTCAGCCTGATGGCTTCTGACCACCACACAGCAATATCCTGACTGTTGGCAATTTATCCAGGCATCATGGCAGCACAGAGCTTTAAGGGGGAGGTGAGAATTGAAGAACGAAGTTGTGCTGTGAGCATTGACTGTGAGGTGCAGTATGGCTCACAGCATCAACATGCTTAAATTTTTGAGGAAGTGGGGAATGGAGACATCAGTCAGACAAAAGTCTCTGGCTTTTGGAATGCTCTGAGACATCACAGGGTGGGTTTGTTGTGGAGAAGAGGTTCAGTGTGAGGGGATTCTGGATTTAGTGATGCGAGGGTCCTAGTAACAAATCTGTCAGCGAGCTCGCCCCACCTGCACAGTGCCAGAGCTACGTAAACTGCACCAGATCTCTGCAAAAAGCTGATTTTTTCTTCTCTGCAGGAGGGGAATAGATTAATGGGAATAACTGTTGGTTGATTTGATATTTGTGGTTTTGCTTCTAATAATATTTATTATTCCAAAGTTGTTATGTCTGAAAGAAGTCCAAATTATGTTCAAAATAGTAGCCTTGAATTTCTGGGGGAAATGCTCTGAAATGCGTGGAAGAGCAATCATGCAGAAAGTCGTGTAATGAAGATGAACTAATTCTACTGTAATCCTGTAGTATTTCATTGCTGACAGAAGATTTGTTGTGGATAATCTTGAGATCTAGGGGAGGCTCAGAACGTGACTGAGACCTGAAGTTTATCTGCAGGATGGTGGGTGCTGTGGTGGTGGGGACATTGATGGCCCTTCACTGGCCTGTGTTCTCTATTTCAGTAGCCAAAACCACTGCCTTTCTGTGCCAGCTGCTGCTTTGAAGTTTTATTGTCCAGTACAAAAACTGTTGCAAAAGCCAATGAGGCACAGGCCAGTGTAACAGAATTTGAAGTTCAGCGCTAAAGCCAGTGGGTTTTTTTTCTCTTCCCCCCCACCCAGCAACATAATTGCACCTTCAAAATAATTAAAATGTAATCTCATACATGAGGAAATTGCTGGTTCAGAGTAGTCGAGCTGTGGCGATTGGAACTCATTTGACTTCTGCTTAAGAAATGAAAAATCTCTTCTTAAAAATTTAGTCAGTGTTTATCCAAATTATGATTGATATGTAGCTCAATGACTTTAGCACAGGGAATGTTACATAAAATGTTATCCTTCCCTTGAGTCTGTGATATGGTAGTGTATCAGAGAACATCAGCTTTAAACGTTGTGGGAAATTAGAGGAAATACAGCAAATATGTAGTAAATGGACCTGCAGCAGTGAAAGAAAAGACTGCTGTTTGGGAGAAAAAAGTTTGTTCATGTCAAAAACATCTTCTTCTTCTAATAACTTGGAGAAATCATACCGGTTTTTTATGTCATGCTGCTTCTTAAAGAGAAGGGGAAGAAAAGCTTTTTTGTTTCGGAAGGTGTTTGTGTGGTAGCTGACACAATGTCAATCACAGGCTAAATTTTCTATGGTCTGTTCAATGCTTTGTGTACTAGTGCTGTGTCCTCTGTTACAAGTCTAAACATGCAACAGAGTAATTCTATACAATTTGATTTTTTTATGTACTTGGTATTTGCAGTCCACATTAATTTATCTGATCTTTCATAAAAAACAGTTAATAGTTATATTGGGCAGTGTGCTGTCTTTACAAAGTTTTCATATTCCTGCTTAATTTTCTTCAGGAATATCATAAATAAAATTTCTACTTATGGTAATATAAGTAACAAGACCATACAGTTATGTGACTTGCACATCTTGTTATTGAAATACTGACATAAATTCCAACACTGGCTTGCCCTGATAAGTTTCTTTGAGCTTGTCCTGTGTAAGTCTATTCTGAAATAATCTTTTGTTTGTTTCTCATTATCAATGCTCTTTTTAAAAATCAGCTTTTTGTTTTGTGCAGCATGGAGCTTTCTAGAGTAACTAAATGTTTGTGTCTGTAAGTCTTTGTTAAAAGAGTCAGAAAAAATTACCAGGTGGAGATATTTCAACCTGTAAGTGTCTGGTGTGCAGAGATTTGAGGTGGGGGGAGGTCCCTCCACCACAGCATGCAGAACTGAGTGAAAAGCCAAGCCTTTGTCCTCTGGCCAGCCTTCAGAAGGAACTTCTGATTTCTCTGATCCGGCTGTGTTGGCTGGATTTTTCTAAAAAGCTCTATATTTTTAGTTATTCAATATTATTATGCTTTACTTGTCAGCTCTAGAGATTTAAAAGGATGAGGGAGCTTCTGCTTTTCCTCCCTTCATAGTCTTCATGTTGCCATCACTGTTTGCATTTTATATACAGAACCATCTTTTGGTGTTTGTGAGAGGTAGGGTAGAAAGAAGATTTTTATTCTTGTTCTTAGTAATCAATCCATCCTGCTGATTACTAGAAATAACCTGCTTTCATTCCTGCAGCTAGATTTCTTTAACTAGACATAAAGGTGAAAACTACTTGTTTCTTGGTAATTTTACTATAGTCCATAGATCCGTGGGTTACATAGTTGCTTTACACACATCTGTTACTTTTACTTAAATCTCATAAGCAAACCCAAGTGGCTGTAGATTTGGAAGCATCTTCAGTAGGCTGAACAAGAGAATAAGGCATCTATTAGCATATTAGTTTTAAATCACAGGAATGGTGATCTTTACAAACAGCAACTTAATGGTTACAGCTTTAGTAATGGCAAATTTCCATGGAGTTGTTTGTAATGAGTGGTACCAGTGTATAGCTTGTGTAATTACACAGGGAATTGCAGGCATTGTGGTTTATAAACAAGTTCAAGAATGATCTCTCTTCAATTTACTGAAGATGTGTATCACCTTAACAGAGGTGACTGAATTAGATTTGTAAAATCTATTTAGTTTTTAGAAGTGTGAATATCAGAGGAAAGTTGTTTTTGCTTTTTCTGTTCCCTGAGCTTGTTTATTCTATAATCCAACTTCAGTGAAGGGGCGATTAGTCTTAGCACTGATGGAGCACTTGTTCTGCAGGCAGGAAAGTGCATATTGATTAGCTCCAGTGAATATTAGTCCGGAAGTTCAGGAAGATGATAACAAGTTGAAACTCTGAAAAACCTATGAAACAGAAGTAGTGAATACATGGGCAATGTCCTATACTGTTTCACTCCTAAGTTCAGTGAATATTACATGGATGTATTTTGTCCATCAGCTGATGGTAGAACTTAATGAAAACCATGTGATTTAAAATTTGAATATGCAGTGGTGGATTAAGCTTGAAAGTCAGCCAGGTGCCCACCAAGCTGTTCTCTTACTCTCAGTCCTCAGCTGAGCAACAGGAGAAAGTAAGGCAAAAAACCCCAAAAAAACAGCTCGTTGAGTTAAGGACAAGGAGGTCACTGACAAATTACTGTCGTGGGCAAACCTCTCAGCTTGGGGAGTATTAATTTAATTTACTGCCAATTAAAAATAGAGTAGGACAGTGAGAAACAGAATCAAAACTAAACCCACCTTCCCCCAGCCCTCCCTTTCAAGGTTCAACTTCACTCCTTCATTTCTAACTC